CACCCTGGCACCAGGCTGGGAGGCTTGAGGCTGTGCCCCCACCTGGAGGGGCTTCTCAGGGGTGTGGCCAGCCAGGTCTAGGTCTCACCCAGTGGGGATGTGGCCGGCTGGGTCTGGGTCTCCTGCATTTTCGAAGTGCATGAGGGTGGTGGGCAGGGACTTGACTCTAGGTCCCGCAGCATGCCCCAGACTCGGACAGGAGGGAAATTTTATATACATTTTACTAATTTCTTTCATCTCTGGCACTTCTATTATAGAGAAAGGGCAAATAGCAATATTAAAATATTTCTTCTCATTAATTCTCTTTTAATGTGCATGAATTTCATGCACTGGGCCACTAGTGTTATAACTGGTGAGCCAAGGGGATAGAGCAACAGAATAACCTATACCCCTGGGGGAGGAGGTGTCTTCCAGTTCTCAGGGACTGAGTGTATTGGGGAAACAAGGAAGAGAAGACCTCTTCACCAGGTTGGACCACACTGCTGCTTGAGGAAGTATTGACTTCCCCAGGGATTCCAGCTTCAGCCCAGCTTTTCTTGCCTATGGCCCTTCTTATTTGTATATAAATACTTGACTATTTACACTATAATTCCTTACCTTAAGGCTAGAGTTAGCTATGAATTGATACATTCAAATGCATGCTTTAGTAACTATACTAATAAAAGCCTAGGTCAGGGGTAGGCAGGCTTTGTGTGAGTTCATGCCAAAACCAGCAAAATCTCTGCCTCAAAATTCTTCTGCCTGCCAACCCTAATTTTTTTAGAACATGTTACACCTACTTGATATCTCTTAAGGTGTACGTATGTGAAGAACCTTGAAGAAATAATAAAATTCAATCGAGCAACAAAAACACAGTATATGATGATGAAAAATACATTTATTTTTTTAATTAAATCTTTATTGTTCAGATTATTACATTAGTTACTCTTTTTTCCCACCATAACTCCCCTCCACCCAGTTCCCACACCACCCTCCGCCCTCACATCCCACCCACTGTCCTCATCCATAGGTGCACGATTATTGTCCAATCTCTTGCCGCACCCCCCACAACCCTTCCCCCCCCCCAAGAATAGTCAGTCCATTCCATTTCTATGTCCCTGCTTCTATTATAATCACCAGTTCATACTGTTCATCAGATTATTTATTCACTTGATTTTTAGATTCACTTGTTGATAGATGTGTATTTGTTGTTCATAATTTGTATCTTTACCTTTTTCTTCTTCTTCCTCTTAAAGGATACCTTTCAGCATTTCATATAATACTGGTTTGGTGGTGATGAACTCCTTTAGCTTTTTCTTATCTGTGAAGCTCTTTTTAAATTTTTTTATTGCTTAAAGTATTACAAAGGGTATTACATAGGTGTCCCTTTTTTTCCCCTGCCCTTGACAATCCCCTGGCCTCCCCCCCCCCCAGTGTCTTCTACCCATTGGTTATACTTATATGCATGCATACAAGTCCTTCGGTTGATCTCTTACCCCCCTCCCTCCTGCCCCCCAACCCTCCCTGGCCTTCCTGCTGCAGTTTGACAATGAGTTTGAGGCAGCTCTGCCTCTGTATCTATTATTGTTCAAAAGTTTGTAATGGTCTCTATTATCCATGAATGAGTGAGATCATGTGGTATTTTTCCTTCATTGACTGGCTTATTTCACTTAGCATAATGCTCTCCAGTTCCATCCATGCTGTTGCAAATGGTAAGAGGTCTTCCTTTTTTACAGCAGCATAGTATTCCATCATGTAGATGTACCACAGTTCTCTAATCCATTCATCTACTGATGGGCACTTAGGCTGTTTCCAGATCTTAGCTATGGTGAATTGTGCTGCTATGAACATAGGGGTGCATAGAACCTTTCTGATTGGTGTTTCTGGTTTCTTGGGATATATTCCTAGAAGTGGGATCACAGGGTCAAATGGGAGTTTCATTCTTAGTTTTTTGAGGAAACTCCATAGTGTCTTCCATAGTGGCTGCACCAGACTGCATTCCCATCAGCAGTGCATGAGTGTTCCTTTTTCTCCACATCCCCTCCAGCACTTGTCGTTTGTTGATTTGTTGATCATAGCCAGTCTGACAGGTGTGAGATGGTACCTCATTGTTGTTTTGATTTGTGATTTGTATCTCTCGGATTATTAGTGACTTTGAGCATGTTTTCATATGTCTCTTGGCTTTCTGAATGTCCTCTTTTGAAAGGTGTCTATTTAGGTCTTTGCCCATTTTTTGATTGGATTGTTTATCTTCTTTTTGTTAAGTTGTATGAGTTCCCTATAAATTTTGGAGATTAGGCCCTTATCAGAAATGATATTGGCAAATATGTTTTCCCACGCAGTGGGTTTTCTCATTGTTTTGTTGATGGTTTCTTTTGCTGTGCAGAAGCTTTTTATTTTGATGTAGTCCCATTTGTTCATTTTCTCTTTAGTTTCAACTGCCCTAGGAGCTGTATCAGTGAAGAAATTGCTTCTGCATATGTCTGAGATTTTGTTGCCTTTGGATTCTTCTAGAATTTTTATGGTTTCCTGTCATACATTTTAGTCCTTTATCCATTTTGACTTTATTCTTGTGTATGGTGTAAGTTGGTGGTCTAGTTTCATTCTCTTGCATATATCTGTCCAATTTTCCCAACTCCATTTATTGAAGAGACTATCTTGGCTCCATTGTATGTTCCTGCCTCCTTTGTCAAATATTAATTGAGCATATTGGTTCGGGCTAATTTCTGGACTCTCTATTCTATTCCATCAATCTATATGTCTGTTCTTGTGCCAGTACCAGGCAGTTTTGAGAACAATGGCTTTGTAATACAGCTTGATATCTGGCATTGAGATCCCACCTACTTTGTTCTTTCTCAGGATCGCTGCAGCTATTTGGGGTCTTTTTTTATTCTAGATGAATTTTTGGAGAGTTCGTTCTAGATCTTTGAATTAGGCCTTTGGTATTTTAATGGGAAGTGCGTTGAATTTATAGATTGCTTTGGGCAGTATGGACATTTTAATGATGTTGATTCTACCAATCCAAGAACATGGTATGTTCTTCCATTTCTTTATGTCTTCCTCTATCTCTTTTTTCAACATCTTGTAGTTTTCTGAGTAGAGGTCTTTTACCTCTTTAGTTAAGTTTATTCCTAGGTAGCTTAATTTTTTTGGTGCGATGGTAAATGGGATTGTTTATTAAGTCTCTCTTTCTGAAAGTTCACTATTGGTGTATAGAAATGCCTCGGATTTCTTGGGGTTAATTTTGTATCCTGCTACATTGCGGAATTCTTTTATTAAGTCTAAAAGTTTTTTGATGGAGGCTTTAGGGTTTTCTGTGAATAATATCATGTCATCTACAAATAAGGACAGTTTTACTTCCTCTTTTCCAATTTGGATGCCTTTTATTTCTTCTTCTTGTCTAATTGCAATGGCTAATACTTCCAAGACTATGTTGAACAGGAGTGGTGAGCATGGGCATCCCTGTCTTGTTCCTGTTCTTAGGGGAAATGGTGTTAGTTTTTGTCCATTGAGTATGATGTTGGCTGTGGGCCTGTCATATATGGCTTTTATTATGTCGAGGTATGATCCTTCTACTCCCACCTTGCTGAGAGTTTTTATCGAAAATGGGTGTTGGATTTTGTCAAATGCTTTTTCTGCATCAATTGATAGGACCGTGTGCTTTTTTCTTTCAATTTGTTTATGTGATGTATCACGTTTATTGATTTTCGGATATTGTACCATCCTCGCATCCCTGGAATAAATCCTACTTGGTCATGGTGTATGATCTGTCTGATGTACTGCTGGATCCAATTTGTTAAGATTTTGTTGAGGATTTTGGCATCTATGTTCATGAGGGATATTGGCCTATAATTCTCTTTCATTGTGTTGTCTTTCCCTGATTTTGGTATTAGGGTGATGCTGGCTTCATAGAATGAGCTTGGAAGTGTTCCTTCCTCTTGGATTTTTTGTAGTAGTCTGAGGAGGGTTGGTTTTAGTTCTTCCTTGAATGTTTGGTAAAACTCCCCTGTGAAGCTGTCTGGTCGTGGGCTTTTGTTTGCTGGAAGCTTTTTGATTACTGCTTCAATTTCTTCCATAGTTATTGGCCTATTGAGATTTTTAGAGTCTTCCTGATTGAGTGCTGGAATGTTGTATTTTTCTAGGAATTTTTCCATTTCCTGTAGGTTGTGTAGTTTGTTGGAGTAAAGCTGTCCATAGTATTTTTTAACAATCCTTTGTATTTCTGTGGGGTCTGTTGTTATTTCGTTTCTATCATTTCTGATTTTGTTTATTTGGGTCCTCTCTCTTTGCTTCTTGGTGAGCCTGGCTAGAAGTTTGTCAATCTTGTTTATCCTTTCAGAGAACCAGCTCTTGGTTTCATTGATTTTCTGTATTGTCTCTTTGGTCTCTATGTCATTTATTTCTGCTCTAATCTTTATTATCTCCTTCCTTCTGCTCACTCTGGGGTTTTCTTGTTGCTCTCTTTCTAATTCTTTGAGTTGTAGAGTCAGATGATTTACTTACCATTTTTTCTTGTTTTTTGAGATAGGCCTGTAGAGCTATAAACTTCCTTCTCAGGACTGCTTTCATTGTGTCCCATAGGTTTTGGATTGTTGTGTTTTCATTGTCATTAGTGTCCAGGATGTTTTTAATTTCTTCTTTGATCTCATTGGTAACCCAATCAATATTTAATAACATGCTATTCAGCTTCCTGTAGAGGGCCGCCTGGGAGGCACCTAGGCATTTTCTTATTATTATCAGCTGAACTCAGAGTATAGGCAGCCACGCCCTGGGAACATGCTTCCCCAATAAGGCTGGACATGTTAATCATGCAGGGGCGGAAATAGGTATGTAAATCTAGGCCTTTAAAAGATTTACATACCTAGTTTTAAAATAAACCTACATACCTAGATTTTAAAATAAACCTGCTGTGTGGCTCAGCCGCTTTTGCCGCCTCTCCATCAGAGAGGATGGCGCCCACCTGGCCCCAGCTTAAGATCTATTTCTGCATCTTGGTCTTTCTTTAATTTCTTAATCCCCAGCTCCTCCGCTCAAGAACCTGTCGTTTTCCCGTGCGGGTCGCGGGAAACAGAAACAGCCCACCACATTTGGCGCACCGAACAGGGATTGAGTAAGGAGGCAAGAGAAGAAAGCGAGGGTGTCGCTCCTAGAAGTGTGCACACGACAGATTGAAGGTAAGGAGTGTATTGTGTGAATTGAATCAACCGGGTGTAAAATATGGGTAATTCAGAGTCTCGGGAAAGTGATCTCTACTCTCAAATACTTATAAGTATGCTTTAAACTATGCTCTGTTAATTGTAGTCATATTCTTGATTTCTTTCTTAAGCTTTGTTGATGAAACCTGGGAAAAGGTTAGAAAGCAGTTGTGTGACCAATACTCAGCAAAAAGTCCAGAGAAAATTCCTATTTTAATTGGCGATGGCCTTGATTCAGCACAGGAGAGTTTAAAAATGTCTAAGTGGGGTGCTGCCACGGCCTTACAGCCTGGAGTGGAAGGGTGCGAGTCTCTAAGAATACCATCTACACCTCCTCTGCCTCCAATGATTCTTTATCTTAAAAAATCTTTTCTTTCCTTGAAAAATAAAAATAAATAAAAATTGAAAAATAAATAAAAAGAGTAAATGCCAGACCATTACTGAATCTTCCCCCTAAGAAACAAGGAGGTGGGGGAAGCCCACGTGGCCATCCAATATGGACGCCACTCCCCAAGAAAGCCACTTCTTCACCTCATCTTCACCATCTTTATCCTTTTTTCCAGCTAATGACTTAAAGCTTTTACAAATTCATAAATGTATCCGGGATTTCTGTGCACATGTAAAGAGAAAAGGCCAGTTTAAAAACGAGTGCGCATAGTTTTGAGCTGAATTGACCTTTTGCTGTGTACAGAATAAAAACCCGAGACTGTTTTGGCCTTAAAAATGGCAGAGATGAACCCGAGAAAGAAATACAGGCTGGTTTCCCAAGGCGATTTAAAGCAGCTCTTTTGAAATTTCCCGCCCTGAGGCAAGTACCACCAGGAAGTTGATAGTCAAGTTTACATGTGAATAGCCATGGATTCCCTTCTTGACTTTCCCAGCAGGAAAATTGTGACCATTTTGAAATTTAGCAGCCATCTTTAGGAATGTTAATTTGCATTTCAATGGCTACACCTTTTGCTAGTCAACCTTCCCAGAAAAGGTGAAGCGGCCAAAGCGGCTCCTTTGAAATCAACTTTCCACCAGTAGTCATTTTTTAATACCTGCAAGTTTGCTTCTCAGTTTCCCTGGGCAGAAAAAAAAACATGGTTTAAAGTTAATTATTAGATTTTAATATTTATTCTTAAAAATATAAAAGTGTAGTTAATCAAAGAACTGCTAATATTTGACTTGTAAGCTCTGAAAGTTTAAAGTGCAAATTGAATCTGGAGAAATTAATTAAATATCTAAAGTATAACTTGTTTTTGAAAAAATAAAATGTGTTTTCTCTTAAATAATTAGAAATTCAAAATATGTTACTTCTTGGTCTGATTTAAAAAATAGGATTAATTTTATGATCTCAACTGAAAATTTTTTAATACAAAAACCAGTTTAGATTTGATTGATATTCCTTAAGATAATTATAAAAGGTATAAACAGCTAATGAGATTTCTGTTTGTCTACAATATAATGTTGGTCATCTATCTTTTAGGGATGTTGGTTTGCTCTATCAAAGAACAGTGTAGACAGCCACCATTTTGGGCTTCGTGACTTGGCAGCCGCCATGTCAGCCACATGGCCTGCCGCTCCCCTGGGGGCCGCCATCTTGAAACAGCAAAGGCCCCTCCCTCTGATTTAGCCAAAAAGGAATGTCTTCTCACTGAGGCAGGATGGGATTTCAGAGGTGGAGCTTTAAGGCGGAATTTTACTACAAAAATGCGAATGAGGCATAAAGTATGCTTGCCTCTCGGATTTATTTAATACTATTTTTAAGAAGATATTTTTAATGCTTAATAAAGTTAGCAATCACGGTCTTAATATAATTTAAGTGATATGATAGACCAATGTTTTAAGCAGTTGGCTTTATAATGGCTGACAATAAAGCTCGTATCCTTAAAAGGCTAAGTTATTTTTCTAATTTCTTCCTCTAGAAAACCCTACTTTCCTTAAACTAAGGACAATTAAAAGT